TAGTTCTGCTATAGCAATACCTAGGTTAATTATAAAAATGAATACAAAAAGCTTTGAAAGGTTTATTTTAAGGATAAAATAGTTCTAAAATTGAGATAATAATCTGAGTATCTAGGTATAATTCAGTAATATTAACACAGGTTACTGGTTTAGAAGGTTTAAAATGGAACACACAAGCAGAAATGTTAGGTACAGCAATTGATAAGAAATCTTTGAAGGAACTTTTTAAATAGGTAATATAGAAAAGTTAGACATGTAGCCAATTGTATGCTCTTCTGTAATGGTTCATAAAATCATATTACTAATAAAGTCATTAATAAAGAGTTAAAAGACCAAAGAGGTTATCTTAATATTAAAAAAAAATATTAAAAACCTAGTTTTTTTTAATAATTGCAAAATATTTAAACAAAAAATTAACAAAAATATTTATATTAATGTTTTTTAAAAACTATTTCATATTATTTGTTGTTACTACACATTTGTTAACTAGGTTTAATACAATCTTTTAACAAAATAATTGTTTTATACATATAGTGTCAAATTGGCTTGAAAAAAACATATATATATGAAATAATCATTGCAATTTTCTAATCTTATTCTATAGAAAACATCTAAAAGATCTTAAAAACAATATTTAAATTGAAAAGACTTTTTAAGAGACAAGAATAAGCTTAAGATAAACTTGAAGTGAAAAAAACTTGATTTCTCTGGGCGGTTGTAAACTCAATGCTACAAAGAATCGATGTAGTAACAAGTGCAAGAGGTCATGTGTACAAATATTAAAATAAAAAAATTATATATATTTAGAGTAGAAATTAAATAAATAAAAGTTTTCAACTTTGGTAAAAATTCAGGCATTACTTTTGTTTTCCACTGTATGTACATGTAAACTTATAACCCAGATCATGGTATTTAAAACCAATAAATATTTTAAGCAAATCAATCAAAAGTATATTTTCATTATTTTTCTAAATTTAATTGTTTTCAATGTTAATAACAAATTTTATAATATATAAAAAAAAAAGAATTTTATACAAGAAATAATTTACGATAATGAAATTTATCTGTTACTACATAATAAATTAAAGAAGAAATTCTGGCAATTTAAACTCTTCAAGGTATTTATATAGTTATTTTTTTATTTTTTATTTTTTATTTATTTTTGTGTATTTACCTCAAATACAAAATCATGGATAAATGATAACTTTTTTAACAATAGATTTGATATACATGATATATATATACAATATATATATCGTGGATTAAATTTACAAAATATAGTTTACAACTACTTTCTCAAATGGATTTACCTCATTTATCTAACAGTTATTTCACAGACTTTTAGTTCTAACCAATGCTAACTCTAAATCAGGCTAACCTTAACTATAAATCGGCCGACTTACCCTAATTGTCAGGAAAATGAAATCCGTAATTCTCTCAATATTTGTCAGAATTAAAATTATATAATCCATAGCTTAGTCAGAAGATGATGAACTATTAGCCAACTCTTGAGTTGCAGCAAACTTTTTATATTTCAACCAACGCCGAAGAAGTAAGAAAGCAATGACTACAATAACTACTAAAGATACAGTGCATCCAATTGAAACACCTAAAATGAGAGCAAGATTGGATGATAATACAGTATTAGTTTTCAATGGTTGAACAGAATACGTGGGTGCAGATTCTGTAGATGATCCGGTGGTGGAAGTAGGATTGGATGAGTTAGCGTTGAACGAAGTGATCCACGTATAATTAGATTTGTTACTAATATCGAGAAGATATATGTTGGAAGTTGGACCGGGTTCCACAGTGGTTTGCAACGTAACATTACCTAATAGATATATATATGTATAGATTCAAATATAAGATATGCGTGAGGAATTATATAATTAATAACGATAATTCAATGCTACATACCAAATGCTATCATCATTATGTTTCCTATTAAAGCAGCAGAATGGTGAGCAAGTATTGGAGGCGCAGTATTAAAAGCTTTTGGGGTTGACCATTGGAATGGAGGTGTACTTTCAGTGTCTAAAACAGCAAGATCAGGAGTGGCAGGCGAAAGTAATTCTTCATTTTCTTTACCACCATAAATAATGATTCTACCGTCCATTGCTATATTGAAAAAAAGAATTCAAATAAACAAGATATCATAATATGAATGACAATTTAAAACTTACCTAATACAGCGGAATGACCTGAACGGACACCGGGTATAATTCCGGTTGCGGTCTATACAAAATGGATTATCAGATATTAATGTTTATTCATTACCGTTACGTATTATTAGTATTTTAGCAATTATGATCTTAAGATAGTTACTTACAATCAAGTTCCAAAAGGCTCTTTTAGTATCAAAAGCCCATATCTAATTGAGATGTAATATATTCTAGTTAGCATACATTTTAGAATTGACAACGATAAAATAGAGTATGACGTAGTTGTACCTTGTCCATCGGTCTATAACTTATTCCCGTTCCATAAGCAGTAGTGGCTTGTCTACCTCCGATATATACTTCAAAAAATAACACCTTTTATCGATATGATAAATGATAAATTACTTGATCCAATTCTATTTATATTTGAAAATTTACCTATCGTTCCGTTAGTCAGTAGCGTGGCAGTAAAATCAGCCTGAGGTAGAGGATAATCAAGGCCAGAAGCTGCAACTATCAACCAAGATAATCTTGTAATATCTAAAATGTTCATATCACTGAACCAAGTGGTATTTTGAGAACCTGTTAAAGGACCCGATAGTCCACCAAACACATAAACTTTATTAGATCTATCTTGTGCAATTTGGAACTCCATTCGTCTGGGTGGAGGGGTTTCCGAAATTGTTGGTTTACTCCATTGTTGACTTTTTGTATTAAACGCGTAGACCAAAGTATCAAGTGCACTGACTTGATTACTACTATTAACCATTGAGCCTTCAAACATATATATTGTATTGTTTATAGTATCCAATGCACTAACTTGCCAGCAAGTTCCCACTGGAATGGCAGCGATTGATGTAAGGTCAATCCACGGAATGCTACCCGACGTGCTAAACGAGGATAAAGTATCTAAATAAAATACACTATTTTGACATCCTTGACTCCCATCAGAATTTTTACCCCAACCTCCAAAGAAATAAAGTTTAGAATCCACTAATATAGAACTAGTAGAATATCTAGGCAAAGGCGTGAATGATTCAACACGCACAACAAAATGAGAGAACACAATGCAAGAGAGTAGTACATGAGAAATGTAGATTAAAACCATTGTAAATTATAATCAAAGAGAAAGTGCGAGGCTTTGTAATAAAGTAATTCTGATAAAACATTTATAACAAAGATCATTTTACAAACTGTTAGTTCAAAATTAATTTTGCCGATTTTTTTTTTTTTTCGGGCAATTCCTAATTTAAATTAAGAAAGTAAGACTATTCTGGAAATTTGCTTTACATTTTCAACCATTATTTAGATTAATGTAACGAAATACCATACTTGTAGAACAGTATTAAACCACGTTTTTCTTGTGTTTGGAAGCTCAATACTTTTTTATAACATTAATGTTAAATGATTGGTCACCATTTACCACTAAGTTATTTCTGTTATTTAATCATACAAGACTCGTAAGATTCATTGTTAAAAATTTTAAAGCATTTAAAAAGAATTATCGAACAGTGAATGCATCATTTTGTATATATTGGCTTTTTCAACTAATCGAAGTTGTAGAACAATGAATTACTAAAAAAAGATTTCTTTATTTGATTCGTCATCTTTCAGAAGGTTATTTATATGCACGCACATGTATGCCCGCATATAAGGCTGACTATGCTTCGAATTTATGTGAGTACGTATGTATTTGAAGCAAAGTAATATCGATATAGCATTGAATCAGAAGTTTTAATAAACGATAAAAATTTATTTGTAATAAGAATTACACATTTTAAATCATTATAAGCTTTAGTCAAATACATGCATGAAAGAAACTTTAAAAAAGATATAAACTTTTGAGTATTAGATACTGCATGTACTAATAAAATGATAATTAATAATCAATACGTATTAATAAATCAATATTAAAATAAACAAGGAAAGTAAAATGGCTGTGTAATGTGAATGTCCCACTAATTAGTTACCTAACCAAAAACAAATAATGATATATAAAAAAGAATTGGACAATTTTGGTTAATTTTAAAACCATTTGTATGTAGCGGTAGGTACTATTTCAGATTACGTAAATCTTTAAACAAACGAAATTTAAATAAAGAATTCTTGAATGTAAAAAAAAACAAAGCTAACATATTCGGAAATTTCTATATATCGAATCAGCTAATAATTAAAAAACTTATAGATAATTTATTGATTAGGTCTCTTCTCATTTAACAAAATTGGTATAGTTGCAACTTCATCGACCCGATTATTACTAGTATATTTATATGTATAGTTTTGTTTTTTAAAAAAGTAGAACTAGGTTAATGCGTAGCATTGTATTTCCGAACTTTTATAAATGTGTTTTGTACAAATATATACACGAGCAAGAATTTTCCGAAATTACGATTTTGATATCACATCATAATTTAAAAAATGAACGAATCAGAAACGTAACTTATATACCGAATTGCCAATCGTACTAACTTCCTTTTAAGTCCAACTAATCATTTAGTGAATAATCTTTTTGAATCCTATATATGTTTTTTTTTTAAACACCAATCTCTTGTCTAATTCATAAGTTTTACGATGACCTTTAATAGTGTTAATGATATAAACAAGCCATATCAAAGCGATATAATGAAATAAAATTTGGAATTTGTATTTCCCTTAGTGTTAGTGCAACTATATATCGATATCTAGAAATAGTGCTTGTAAATGTTAATCCTTATAAGGCATCGATGTGCGTAAAAAATTTCATCTAATTGGACCTTAAAATCAAAGTAAATAAAATTAAACAGAATTTATAGTAAGGAGAAATGAATTTCGTTAATTATGCAAATTGTTGGGCTGGTCCGACTCCCACCCCTGTAATGACAATCTTGATTTTGTATACCCCAGTAAGAATTTTAATTAATCAAAAGTTTAATCATTAATGATAAAGTAATAAGACTAGCTTTTATTACATTTGAAAGAATAATTAAATTATCGAAATAATAAACCAACCAGAACAATTAAATTTATTTTCAAATTTAACCTAATAAGTAAGGCTCCAGCCCTATGAAACGTCACCTTTTATTGCTAGTGTTATCATCATCAGAAACGGTAACACATGGACAGTGGGTGAAAGAAGAATATGAACAAGAACGCGTAGTATTACAAGAAATAAAGTTTTTTAAAGTTCAGGTAGAAAATATAACCTGATTAATAGACACTGCTATGTACTGCTTGCCTATAAACTACAAGGTTGAGGTTGCAAAGACTAAATATCAGAGTATAACTAGCAAAAATTGTAAGGTTCAGTAATTAAATTTTATGATTTGTATACTTTCTACAAAAAATCGAAAAAAATTATATAATTTGAGAGCAGACTAAAAGAAATTTTTTAAATGAAATTTTGTGAATGTTAACATTCTTAGTGATTAACTGATTTTTTCCTGATTTAATTGGATCCTATCATTTTCTCGACAAGTCGCCCGCATTAATTTAGGCTAGTGTTAGTTCCGGTCGATTTTTGTCGGGAAAATAATAGAGATCCGTTTTAATCGTGATAATAACCTTCATTTTCATCAAAAAAATGTATAGTTATATCATTTTTAGAGTCATTGTTTCCATCACAGAGAAATCCTTACATTGTTATCATTATCAACATCATCAGGTACACTTAACTCAGGTTCCAGAAATTGTGAATTTCGATAGTTTTTCTGAAGATAAATCCGAAACTGAGATTCAGGAAACATATTTACCTTATCTCATAAATTAGAGGTATGAAATGATGGAATAGAGGAAGTGGTTGTAATGCTTGCCTCAGTTTTCTTTTAAGTTCTGCCAACCCTGCGTTCTCCTGCCTAAGTTTATCTATCTCGGCTGTAAGTTTGAAATCTGTTCTAAAGAATTGATTTGAAATTGTTTGTCATTTTTTATACCGGGTGGATGAAAAGTACTATATACGTAGCATATCATAAATGTGTACAAGGTTGGTGTCGCAAATCTCCTGAAATGAGGTGTGATGTAACACGATCAAAAAGATTCAAAACAATCGTTCGTTCTGCCAAAAATTGCACATAGCTCAAAAATCAATGTTAAGTTTATTAATTTTATTAACTTTATTTATTAACGAATAATTTTTTTAATTCATTTTTAAAAATTTCCACTTAAAAAATTTTTATTATTTATTTTTTTAACGTTAATTTTATTAAGTTTATTACAATTGTAAATACATATTTATTAAATTTATATATAAAAAAAAACTAAACTAAATATGATATTTAGTTTCGAAAAATATATCTCCTACTTATCCCAACCACCACGAAAAGGTATATCTCATTGGTTGGGAAGGTAATTCCCAACCAATCTCTCACTTCACCGGTACTAGTCGTGGTTCGGTTCCCGGTGGAGTGAGTAGGTTGTTTCTCTTGAATCATTAATACTTTCGTATTTCATCAAGGTAGCTTTAACTCAATTTATACTCTAGAGTTTGAGTATACCTGT